ACGTCACCGCTCCAGCTACAGGCTCAAACCCAACATCACCCCTCTAGCTACAGGCTCAAATCCGACGTCACTGCTCTCTGGCTACGGGAACACCATTCCTAGCTGTAAACAGGGATGGTGGTTTTGTAGGTTAATCGGGTGAGGTGTGGAAAGGCATTTAAGATGCCACCAGCACATGGCAGGTCTGCAGCTGCGTGTAATGCTGGGAGTTACCTGAGAAGTCGTATCTGACGAGGCCCATCCACCGCTTCTTCTCGCTGTCCTTTATGATGTCCCCGTAGAAGCCATAGCCCAGCAGAGACACGGAGTAACGCAGCAGGGTGCTGTTGTGGTGCACGGCGGACACATCCATGGGCAGCGAGTCTCCTGCAGGGCGGGGCGCCCACCGTGAGCTGAAACATCCACCCCAGGCCACACCCTTCCCATCAGACTGTTTCGAAAACACAAGGACCAATCCGTCGCCACCGAGTCGACTCCGACTCCTGGCGACCCCACGTGTGTCGGAGTAGAACTGTGCTCCGCGGGGTTTCAAACGGCTGGTTTTTCATCAGTAGATCACCAGGCCTTTCTTCTGAGGTGCCTCTGGGTGGACTCGAACTTCTAAACTTTTGGTTAGTAGCCGAGTGCTTAACCCTTTGCTCTACCCAGGGACTCCTTTGCAAACACAGGAGTTAATCAAAACGTGAAATGAAGAGTAGGCATTCAGTGTAGTGACCCATTTCTCTGGGGGCACTGCAGCACTGGGTCTGCTTTCCAATGACAAAACCTCCCTGATTGCAAAGACGGGTTTGGGGAAAGAACAAAACTGTCCGTTGTCACCATGAAGCTTGCCACCTGTTACTGACTGAAAGGAAGACAAGTGGCGTTTAAAACACAAAATAACAAACAAAGCTGTTATTTTTAAATATAACATTTCTGTTCCTTCTAGTACTCAGAGTAACACTGTATCAGGGGCAGGCAAGGAAGCTGGAAGCTCAGCACTTGCCACATAGGGGCCTCGGTGAAATGAGGGCGGCTTCAGAGAGTCCCCACTCCCCCTTGCATCCAGGGCTCAAAGCGGGCCCTTGTGTAAGACCGTTGACGGAGGGTACGCAGCTCTACACATCTTGCCAGGTCTTTGCCAAGGGCTGAGACTAGACTCAGTGAGTGGCCAGCTGTCCGACCGCAGCAGCCGCCAGCTCACTCACTCACTCATCCGTCTGCAGACACCAATCCAGTCCACTGTGCCGGGCCTCTGGGGAGCTGGCCAGTGAGCGGTGTGCTGCTGTTGGCCAGCATGTGCGTGCTGTGGCCAGTGAGGGCAATGACATACACAAAATGGGTAAGATGGTTTCAGACAGCGACCGATTCTATGAAGAAGGTATCGTGGGGTGATAATGGGACAGAGGGTGCAGGGGCAAAAGGGGGGGCGTCCAACAAGGCGATATTTGAGCTGAGACCCCCAAGTGAGTCAGAAGTGTGGCCTCGTGGAGGAAGGGAGGGAGGGGGCAGCACAGAGCACCAAGATGGAGCGCATCTGATGTGCCTAAGGACATCAGAGGCCAGAAGGCAAGGCAGTGGGCCAGGAGGCACAGAGGGCCCCGGTCCCTGTGGCACCAGGGTGCTGGGCAGGGGTGTGTCGTGGACCCCGGCCCCTGCGGCCACCAGGGTGCTGGGCAGAGGTGTGTGAGGGGGTTCACACTGTTAAACCTCCCTCGGACAGCTGTGGGAAGCAGGATTGGACAGAACTCTTGGCCGGGGGAACTGCAGAGGGCTCAGCCTGGGAAAGACCTCGGAGGAGACCCTGCTGAGAGGCAGCTGGGAGGGGAGGGTGGCAAGGAATCAGGGTTCACTGCAGTCAGCGAAGGTCTGCTGAGAAAGTGAGACAGGCACCTACCGAGGACGATGTGCAAGGCTGACGTCTCCACATCGTTGGTCCCAACCGTCGAGTAGCACACACAGTCTGTGGACCCTACAGAGGCAAAAACAGGTCCTGAACATCAAACCGAATTATCATCAGCTCAGCCGGCGGTACACTCTGCCTTTCCATCCACGTCCCGGAATAGATAAGAGGAATTAGCAGGACGTATCTGTGTCTACAAAGCGAAACTACCGAGACCCACTCATCAGAAACACCGAGACGGAACCTGCAACAATATCGACGAGCCACCTCAGAGCCAGGGCCTCTGCAGGCGTTGAGACGGCTCCTGAGACGGCACCCCACCTTCCTGTGCTCCGCCTGGCGCGGTGATGCCTGTGGTCCGTCTACACAGGTGACCTCCGTGGTCTCCACAGGTGACATTGTGGTCCCTCCCCCAGCTCCTCACAGGTGACACCATGGCCCTTCCCCCAGCTCCTCCACAGGTGAC